AATTAACAATTCCTTATACATCATTTTTTATAAAAAAAATGCTAAAAAAAATTCCTTATAAAATATAAGGAAATGTGTTACAGAATTTCAAAAAATGTATACAAAACTTATTTATAATAATGAAAAAACGTATGCAAATTTTTTATAGGGCTGTTAATGACCTTAAAAGTAAAGTTAACTCTTTAGTTATAATATTATGCTTCCTTATTTTAATATTAATTAATCTTAATGAGTATTATAATTTATTAAAATATATCAGTTGAATAGCAAAAAAACAGCCTAACAAATAAACTTAAATAAGTTTTAAATGATCTATTTTAGTTTAGTAAATAATTCAAATCTTTTATTTATTGCTATTCATAATATAAAAAATTGTTAAACTAATAATAGAACTCTTTCTTATTAATTACTTTTCACAAAAAAGATTAAGAAAATAAAAACGTTCACCTTTAAAAAGTTTATTATAATTACAACTCTGTTAGTTAGTCTTATACACTGCCTTACAATAAATTATCAGATTTTATAAATTTTACTTAGTAATTTATAGTAAAATTGAAGATCTTTAGGTTGCATAAATATTTACTAATTTTTAATAAAAATCATCTGATTTTTTTTATTTGATAGCTGATCAATTATAGATTTTAGATATTAAAATGAAAAAAAAAAATTTTTAAAACATGAAAAACTTTTTTCATTTTGAAGTATAAGCAACTATTTTTTTATATATTTTTTGTATTTTTATATATAAAATTATTTTATTTATTACTTTACAATGAGTATTTTTTGGCATTTTATAAATAAAATATTTTTGAATTATATTTTTAAAATTATAATTGATTGGCTATTAAATAAAAAAATCTAATGTGTATTTTATTAAAATTCATAAACTTTTATATAATCTAAAAATCTTCAATTTTACTATATATTATTAAGTAATATTTATAAAATCTATTAATTTATAGTAGGGCAGTATATGTTCTATATTAAAATTTTTATTAAGTTTACTATATCTAATATTGAGATTTAATTAAGAAATTCACTATAATGAGTATTATTTTATATAGAATGAACTGGAAAAATAAAAAAAGTTCACTATAAGCCAAATTTACTATAACGGGATTCACTATAATGAGCTTTGACTGTATTCATATTATATTATTAATACATTTATAGAAGGATGATTATCTTAAAATAAATAGAAATATTTAACAAATAATTTCTTGAATACTATTATTCATAAGTAATTTTGGTAAAAATAAAGAAATATAACATTTAAAACAAAATTAAAAAAATAATTTAAAAAAAAATCTCAAAAAATTATTATATAAAACATTGAATCAAAATTAAAATTGATTGTTAAAAAATCCAAGTTATATAACAAATAATTTTTAAAAGTAAAAGGAAATTTTAAAAGAAATGAATGAGTTATTAAATAAAATACAAGATATAACCAATGAAACAAATGATAATAAATATTTTTGAAAAACTTTAAAATTATCAATGTAATATGCTTGTCGTACTACATAATTTCCATTTGGTATGCTTCTTTAGAAACCTGAATCGACATAGCCTACGTGTCACACTTACAGTAACACAGTTTTTCATATTCGGCTTTATAAAAAAAAAATTGCAACAAACGTACATAACTTTTTAAGTTTTTAATCCTTTATTTTTTATTCTTTTATTATTATTTTATTTAGATGCTTTCATCAGTACTTCCTCCGTCAATGCGGATACCTGAGGCTGTGAATCCGCCTATTCCTGGAGAAAGCCATCGTTATTATGGGAACATTCATTTAAAACAACTTAAGCTTCCTTCGAATTCTTTCAACCATTCCTTTCAAGGAACGAGTTACCCTCATTATTCAGTAGACGGTTCGATCGAAGGTGATTTAGACATTCATGAAGCAACAGCTGCTGGTAATTTTATCAGGGTTAAAGAGTTACTTGCTCCTCGTGGTTCTGGTGAAACAACATCTGCCTTCTTGCTTGCAAATGAAGCCAGTCCATCTTCTGGTTTGACACCGCTTCATTACGCGGCGTCACGTGGGCATCTAGAAATTGTTAGATGGTTGATAGATGAGGCTGGAGCTATTGTTGATCTCGAAGATCAAACGGGAGAGGTATGTGAGCTTGATTTCTATAATGATTAATTTTTCCTTTGAATTAATATTGCTTTGTCGTTATTTCTTTAGACAGCTCTCCTTAAAGCATCTTATAATGGTCATTCTTCAGTTGTAGCGTATCTTCTACAAAAGAAAGCGAGTGTGATTCAAAAAGATAACGACGGTTGGACTGCGTTGCATAATGCTTCTGCTCAAGGTTATTTACAGATTGTTAAATATTTGATTGAACACACTTCGGCCGATGTTGATGTGAAGAGTACTAAAGGTCACACTCCTTTAAGTAAGTTGAATGATATGATTGATGAAGTAACCAAATCAATTGCTAATTGATGATACATATTATTTAATCCATTGATTATATATAATAATTAATTAATCTAGTGAACGCTGCATCAAAGGGCAATATTGAAATTGTAGAATACCTTTTAAAATATGGTCATGCGAATCCGCTCATAAAGAACAGTTTTGGAGAAACCGCATATGATGTTGCTGCTATAAGTCTAGAAGTATATATATGTGAATTGTTAGAAAAGGCGGAGCGAGATTGGTGGAAGGGCAAAAGAGCAATGCCTACCTGTATGTTGATTTTATTATTTATATATTCTTTCCGAGATTTTATGCCTAAAACTTTTGTCAATTTAACTCGTTTTTTTTTGACTAATAGCCACTTCATTGAAGGAATATGTTGACCTGCCGGCGCCTGATCAACCATATGATGTTTATTCCTTTCATATCACTGTTCCCGTCATAGTTTATGAAAATCAGCGTACTGCTTCAACATTAGGTTTTCCTCTTCGTGGACCACCAAAATATTCAGCTAATAACTTATTGAAAAGCGACCTTCGAGGTCCTTGGTCTCTTCCAAATGGTAAACCTTCCTCAAGAGATGAAGTTCAACTTCCTTTAGGACCCTCATCATCATCTATTTCAGTCGTTTCTAATATAACTTCTTCTAAGTCACAAAAAGCTTGGTTTTGGGTAACCGATTGGCAGATAGATATGTCACATCCGCAAGTCGACTCACAAGGGTGGCAATATGCTAAAAATTTTGAAGAAAGTGATAAAAATTGGTTTTCTGAACAACGATCTAGCAGTGGAAGTTGGGTTAGGAGGAAAAGATGGGTTCGTATTATGAAACGTCGTATGGATCTAACAACAGAAAGTGGAAGTGCTTTACACTTTGCTCCAGATAATAACGTTCAACATGACGATCCTGATTATATTGAGCGAGCAGAAGATATTATCAAAAAAGAACAAGATAATGGAAATGGAAAAGGAAAAGCTGTCAGTGAGCTTTCTGTGGTTGATCAATTGGGACGATATAAAGAAGCAATAGAACTTTTGTTATCTGGGATCAAAGGTATGTATACATTGTTGTTTATACTTAATGAAATATTGTTTAATATCTACTTTCAAAATCCATCTTTTTAGCTGATAAAAATCCGCAGCGTAAACAGGAAGCCACTTGCCTTGTAAATAGTTTTATGACTCATGCTGAATATTTAGATAATATATTAAGAAATGAGCTTTCGAGTACAAGCCCGAGTTTTAAAGATGTTCCAATGACTCCAACAATTACACAGCCTTTGCAAAGTTTATTTAGATTGGAATCTCCTGATGATCGACCGAAAAATGTTACTCCAAATGCAGGTACAATTAGCAACTTTAACGCTCCATCGACAACAAGTCTTAAAAGTTTTGAGACAATTGAAAGTCCCTGGAATGATACGGTTCAAAGTAACGATGTAGTTGGTAATTCATCTTCCATTTTTGGTGATTCAGCTATGGTATCTCCAACACGTGCACATCCTCAACTAGGTTTAACCGTCAAAAATGTACAAGCAATCACTGTCGTTGGTAAATGGGAGAATGATGAAGACGTACATGAATGTCGAAGATGTCAGAAGAAGTTTAACATGATTTTTAGAAGACATCATTGCAGGTTCGTACGGAACGTTATAATCGAATTCTTTAAAACCAAATTCGATACGTATAACAGCATTTTTTTCTATATTTTTTAATTTTATTTAATAATATCAAATCCAGGCGATGCGGCCAAGTGGTTTGTGATAAATGTTCTACTGCAAGGGTTATGTTACCACTAAATCAAGTGCTTACTGATCCATCCCAAAGTGGTGAAGCAAGCCAATTATCTCAATACCATCGCGTGTGTATTTTATGTTTCGAATCGTTGGATCCTAAATCTCGGGAGAGATCAGATAGCTTCACTTCTACGACAATCGTTTCTGGTTCATCTTCCACAAGTAATAGAAGACGTATGAGCAATAGTTCTATGACCGTTTGTCCTGTTTGTAATATGTCATTAAGTAAAGCCCCTGCAGGAAAAAATGAAGAACACATCAAGAGCTGTCTCGAAAAGAAGAATAGCACCGGCGTTAGCGGTTATCAATATGTGGGTGAGCAGGTGCTTTACAGTAGTCTTGAACAAACAGGAAAAAAAATTACAAAGTAGCAAGAAAGACCCTATAAATCTCATATTAGCAAAAAACATTATTATAACTTATTCGCGGTTTCTTGTCTTGCTTCCTTTGTGTTGGTACATTTCCACCACATTCCTTTATTTCCCCCACTCAACCATTCCCATTCCACATCAATCGGAATATATTTTATTACAGTATACAAACTCCAACAAAATAACCCCGTCGTTGGCCAAGAATGTCCTATCTGTTTCGAAGAATTTCTTGCCGGTAAGTAATTATGTTATTTTACAAATTGAATTTACGTAAAATTTAGGTTATAAAAAATTTATCTTTTAATAGGCGAAACCGTGAAGCTACTGAACTGTATGTGTTTATACCACAATGATTGTATAAACGGATGGTTCGCAAAAAGGAGAGAATGTCCTATACATTTCCGATGATATACTTATTATTTTATGTTTTTTTTTATTTTTTATTTTTTATTTTTTTTTTTTGATGATCATTTTATTTTTTTATTTTTGATAATTATTGTCATTGTTATTATTTTTTTTTATGATTATTATTATCATTATCATCATCACTTTTATTTTATTTTACTTTTTATGATGATTATTATTATTATTATAATTATCATTTATTTTATTTTTGAAGGAGAAGGAAAGGTATTTGTAAATGTCTTACTTCATTTGGTTATAATTTGTTATTAACTAAAGCTTTGTTATTATTCGATAGGTGTTGAAATTTTCTTGATAGATAAATTGTTTGAATTTTTTTTCCTTTGAATTGTTTTATATTAAACATTTAAGTTTATATTTTTGTAAGATTTTATTAAAGATTTTACTTTGATTATAATTATATTTTATGCTTAATGCCTTTATATTTTATGCTTTATGTTTATGTTTTACGTTATACATATAATTTTGCTTATGTATGAAGAAATTGTTGAAATTTTTTTTTTTAGACACTTTTTTTTTTCAGATTAATAAATAAAAATCAATAAATCATTTATTTTAGAATAGATTTTTTTTTATTTTCTGATTAAATCTAATTTGATATATTGTTATTGAATGAATTATTAATATCTTAAATGTTTAAATTGAAAGAATTGCTTTAGATATTTAGAATTCTTGATGAAAGTTAGTATAAAATATTACAATCAAATCTTATATAAGGGATAATATTAAAAGAAAAAGTATATATAGAGTTTAAATTGATTTTTTTGAATGAGAACTTAGAAATTAATGAGAGGTTAGAACTAAGAGGTATAATATTAAGCTGTTATTATTTATAATTTGAATTCATAAAAAGCTTTAAACTTTCAAAATCTTTAAGCTTCTTGAAACTTATTTATAACTTTAGCAAAAAATGTGAAATGTTTATATAAAACTATTTTATTATGATTAATTATTTGTTAAACTATAAATTAATTAAATTTATAAAGTAAAATAAAATAAAATATTAATATTAAAAATAACTATAATGAGAATAATAAATATTTAAAGAATCAGTTAAATCTAATAGTTTAATTTTTTTGATGCAACAGTCTGGTGCAAAAGTCTTTGAACGATCAGTAATAAAATTAAAAGTCATATAGATCAGCTAATTTAAATTCAAATCGGGTTAAATTTTAAACATTTAAAATATAGCATTTGGACAATAAAGAAGCATCTTCCTTGAGATCAAGTGGAAGCTATATAACAATTGGCACCTTTAGCAAGATAACAATCCTAAGCATACAAGCAATGTAGCTAAGGATTTTTTGTAAAGAAAAGTTCTAGCTGTTATGGACTGGCCATCTAATAGTCCTGACTTGAATCTTTAGAAAATTTATGGGCAATTATTAAAAGGAACATGGAGTTGCGGCAACTACAAAATATTGGGGATTTGAAAAATTTTATGGAGGAGAAATGGTCAAAGTTTTACAAGACATTATTAAAAGTCTAGTTAGTTCAATGAAGGAGAGATGTAAGCTTATAATTGAGAAAAATGGAAAATGCACTCCCTATTAATTTTTTTTTAATAAAATCTCCTGCTTTTTGGCTTTTAAATAAATATTTTACCATGTGATTTGACGCAGTTGTTATGAAGTTATACCAAAAAATATTTGTCCAAAGACTTTTGCACCAGACTGAATATGCCAATTATTTTGAATATAAATAATATTTCTAAGTAATTAATCTACATAAAATAAATCTATTGATTTTTATATTATTTTTATTTTAAAATCTATAATAAATAAATTTAATCTTCCTATAACATGCATTTAATAGTAATAAATTACCTTAATTAATTATAAATCTTATAATTAATTTATTTATAATTAGAAAAAGTATTATCTTTATAATACATGATATCTCTAATTATTATAATATTAAAATAGATATTAAATAAAAAAGATTATCTCTCTTTTATTATAATATATTTACTTAAATTTTCTTTATATAAAAGTTACTTCATTAAATAAACATATAATATAAAATATATATAAACTATTGATTTTACTGATATGTCAAATAAATCATTTATTTATATTTTCTCCTTAATTATTATAAATAATATAAATTAAATTACTAGTTTCTAATAAAACTTTAAAAGTATTCTAAATAATACTAAAAAATTTTATAAAAATAAAAATTAATTAAAATTTAATTAATAATACTAACTATATTTTATTTAATTCAAATTTAAAATTTATTAAATAAATGTTATTAATATTATAAAAAAAAATATATAAATTATTTTATAAATATTAATTTAATTTAATCAAATTTAAAATTTAACTTAAATCAAAATATTTTTTTTTTTTTTTTTATTTTTTTAATGTGTGGTAGCTTTGCACAAACTTTATTTAAGAGTAAAGTAAAATTTTACAAAATTACAAATTATAAGATAGAGAGTATAAAAATTTCTATTTAACAATAAAGCCAAATAAAAATCAACCTTGCACCGTTCCAGACTAACCTACCCAAATAAATTTAGAATAGGATCAACCATCCAGTACAGGGGGCGTGGTTGCTACCGATCTAAAAACTCAACCAGTTCATATCAAAATTGAAAGAAGAAATAAAATACGGAGGAATACTAAAATTATGTGATGGTGACGAGAGGAAGCCGGTGTTAGTGAAATGTAATTTTTGATCATTAAGTGAGATATTGTTAAGGTTTCAAAATTTTTGATATCATTGCAACGATCAATCCAGATGAATTTTATTTGAGAAAATGCATGGTGGTAAGTAGAAGATAAGAGACCATTTGTTAATTGGATGTTATTGACAAGGCAGTGTGTTTGTTGAATAAAGAAAGGGATACGATTCCTTTGATTAGATCAATAAAGTTAAAAGAGTCAGGCTGATCATTTAGGGACCATATAGTCAAATCTAAGAGATCTGTAAAATCTTGAGTATCTGAAGTCAATACAATAAGATGTTGTATGAAAAGATTTTTGGTTGAGGATATAATATTAATGATATAGTGTTCAATTTTGGCACAAGTCCAAATGTGATTAAAGGTTTCATAAGTACACGAGCATCTAGGACAATTCCATGATTGGTTATATAGATTTGAGTGTTTTATTTTGAGGATTTCAAGGGTAGGGAGCAGTTCAAGCATAAGTTTGATTTTAAATTTGCGAATAGAAGAGGCTTTGAAGGATGTATAAGAGTTATTTTCATTGTCGTTAAGAATAAAAGAGGTTTGAATCCAATCTACATCCATTGTACTGTATTTTTTAAAATGCGGAAGTAGTTGTATATTATGAAAATTGATTGATCTAAGAAGGTCTTTTACGAACAATCGAGATGGTATAAGTACAATATCCTCGTTAAAATAGAGATTATAATGGTGTCCTAGAAATTTGTTATTCAGAGTGATTGGGAGACCATCAGCTTTTGCTAATGCATCAACTACATTATTATAATGATCATCTGAGTGAGCTTTGACTTAGTGAAATTCAATGGAGAGTGACTTTTCTTTGATTAACTTTATGACAAGAAACCAAATTGGGTAAAAGGAGATTTTAAAAATGGGGTTAAGGTAGGGAAGAAGGTGTAGAAGTAGTTCATTTTATCAAAGGATGAAATGACGTTTTGTGAGTCTGTAAAAATATTAACTGCAGTATTTATAGGAACTACATATATAGCAGATAGTACTACTACTAGTTCTGCTAGAGAAGATGAAGGTTGAGAAAGGATAAGTGAAACATTAAAGGAAAGTAGAGGTGCCGAAGGATCAGATTGCAACCAGGCCACGCCTATATGGATCAAAAAAGTACCTAAATTGATAAGAGAACCATCAGTATAAAATGAGAGGTTAGTTGATTGTATGAAATGAAGTTTAAAGTTGTCCAAACTATTGAGGATTTTTATATTAAAAATTTGTTTAGGTATTAGAGATGGAGGAAACAAAATGGGGGGATATTAAGTGTATTATTATCAATTAAGTTGTAACTATATAAAGCAATTTCATAGAGCATATAAGGGGACAAAGAACAAATATGACCAACATTTGGAAGAAAGGAAGCCTTGATGTCAACACATAGGTGCAAAAGTAATATCACAAAACAGGCTGCCTGTTTATTTCTCATATTAGAGGTAACAAAGGAATAATCATTATTGAGAGAGCATTTATTGTACGGTAAAAGTGAAGTTTTGAAAGTATAGTCTGGTGAGGCAAAAAAATGTTGTAAGTGAACTATATCATTATCGATTCTGAGTACTTTTTCGACTATAGCAAAATGGAAACTTAGGTGTCAACTCACAGCAAAATGTGTAGTACTTTTAATATGGGTTGGAAGAATCGAGTATATATTATTGGTATATGGGCGATGATAATTTGAAGAAATGATTCTTGTGTTAGGTGATAATATAAGTAATGATTGTAATTTGAGAAACCAAGTAGGAGCCTTGGGAATTGCCAGACGAGTTGCAGAAAATTTGAGGTCAGATAGTGTAAAGAGTGCTGCATCATCTGATATTGTAATCTGGTCAAGGAATATCAGTTGTTTGCTTTTTAAAATTGGAGCAAAGGTGCGATA